ATAAATTTTGCAAAAGTTTCGAGTCTTGATTTGGCTTTTCTTTAGACTAGAGAATGCAAATTCAGTTAAGCAAAAAATAAACCTATCATCACTTTCTGTCATTAATTGGATAGGTGCCTGAAAAAACTTTTTGTTAAATATATAAATATATATATTTATATATGTATATATATATATATATATATATATATATATATAATATCATGCAAAACTATTCGGCCCACACGATTCTCATCGACAAAGCCTCGAATTGAACTTGAAATTGCAATCAATTTTAATTGTGATGTAATTGATAGAATTAATGTATATGTATATATATACATATATATATAAATATATATATATATATTAGGGTGGTCCTTAAAATGGTCATTTTCGAATTTCCTTGCTCCCAGGGGCTGAAATGGTTCCAAATTGATAAAAAACAATTCTCTGAAAATTTTAGCTCTTAATATTAACGTTTAGATGGAGCGCAATTCAATCAAAGTTTTGTATGGAAATAGCATAAAATTTTTTTCAAAAATTTTAAAAGTGTTTTTTAATGTAATTTAGCAAACAAATGAATGAATAAAACTCATTCATTTATCGCTAAGTTATACTTAAAACATTTTTTTTTAATTTTCAAAAAATTTTCCATGCTCTTTCCATACAAACTTTGATTGAATTGCGCTCTATCTAAACGTTAATATTAAGAGCTAAAACTTTCAGAGAATTGTTTTTTATCAATTTGGAACCATTTGAGCCCCTGGGAGCAAGGAAATTCGAAAATGACTATTTTAAGGACCACCCTAATATATATATATATATATATATATATATACATATATATATAAATACATATATATATATATATATATACATGTAATGCTACACGATTTTGATACAATTAAAATTGAAAGTGCTGTTCACAATCTACAATTTGTGATATTCGACATTTCTCATCTAAGCTTAGTGATTTATTTGATCTTAGTTTAAAATCCACAATCAATGAATAAAAAATATATAAATGTTTAGCAAAATTAAACTAAATTTATAAACAATAATATTGAATTTTTGCTTTACCAATATATCTTAATCAATATCAACCTGGATCTAGCCCTCGTTTCAGGTTGATGGCGTTTTAGGCGGTTTTTCGCGAAACACTCTAAATATGATACAAGTATTTTCTTTATTGTTTATTAGAATTCTTATATTGCAAATGATTTGCATTTTTGAGTCCAATGGTGAAAATAATTTAGACTCCACGGTTGGATGACACCCATTCTCAGTGGTTTTATTTGTTTTCAAAATAACGTCGGATATCGATAGAATAACTAATTATGGGGAAAAAATGTTTAATCATTTTTTTCAAAAAAGCAAATACATTTCAAGTTACTGGCTACTGAAAATTCGTTTCTACATTTCAAACTCTTATGCAAAACTGTTACAAGAAAATGTTAAACCCAACTATTTCTTTTTAGGCTGTAAGAAAATATTTGTTCATACAGTATCCTTGTCCTTACAAAATTATTATTAACTTCCCGTAGGATAGTTATTGTAATGGGCCGAAAATCAAAAATGAAAGTTTTTGCATTTCTCGACATTTTGAAGGTTTCTGAACATTTTTAAGAACACACACATACTGCCAGAAAAAATGGAAAAAATGAAATGAAATGACGGTTGTTAATGTTCTGGAAATATTTCAAAATGGTACGGGAAGATCCAGCAATTTGCCTTAAGGTACGATGCTATACACCACTAGTTTAATATGTAGTAATTAACAATGTTTTTTTTTCCTACCGGTCAATTTTAATGCAGTTTTAATAATTTCCAGGATTCCGAATTAGATTTTTTCCCTCTTATCAGATTCGCATTATAATACAATGTATGTGTGGAAAACGATTGAGGCGAACACGAACAGTTTAGTTGAAAAACATGCAATTAGTATTTTCACTTTTTTTCTTGCTTTTCTTTTTTTTCTTTGCCAACTGAACGGAACACGCGAATGCATTTAATTAGCCCAATTACAATAAGACATACATACACACACATTATATATATATATATATATATATATATATACTAGCTGACCCGACAAACGTTGTTTTGCTAAGTAAGGTATATTCTAAACAATTTCTGGAGACTCAAAAATATTAATACCTAAAGTGTATAAGGATGTGTTGTTTTGTTTGAATGCCATATACAATTAAGTATTATAAAAACAATAAATCCAATTAGTTTGTGTATATTTGTCAATACAATCAAACTGAAAGTTTTATACACTTTCTATAAAAAACATGATATAATCCAATCCAAGTCTTTTTCGGTCTTTCCGACTTATTGATTACGTTTGAAGTTTTTCAGATTCTGTTTGGATTCTGGATTTTGTGTATAATTGTAAATAATACTACTGAGCTTATACTAAATTTCAAATTTCTGCGAGGAGAGATAGAAAATGAATTAAGTATTTGTTCTTTGACCTGCTTTTTGAAAAGTTTCAAGTAACATTTGATGAATTAAAGTAAATTTAATAAAAAGTATATATGTAGAGCAGGGCGAGGCACAAAGCTCCAATTTGACTTTCTGCAAATATAAACTATATTGTGAAATCTATAACAATTATATCACAATAAATAACACATATCAAACGAACAATTATCTGACTACGTTCAGTAAACTGCCTTCTACTTAATCATTGTAGAAATGTGCTTTTTTTCTGTCTTTCAAAAATTTGTTATCTAGACCTTTTTACCCTATAGGCGGGGTAACTTGAAACGGGCAGGTGGCAAAAGGGTTTAATGTCTTATTTTAATTTTAAAGGTATTTTACAAAATAATTACATTTTTATATTTATTTTTTTACATTTTATTATTATGTATTTTCAAAGATTACCGTTTATCTCCCGATAGCAGGGTCATGAGAATCAAGGTTATAACTGGTTATACATCTTTTTCCCTCTACTTTCAAATATTGTTGTTAAACAATGCTAAACTTTACTGGTTTTTGACACATCAGTGGTGGACCTTTTCAACCCCGGACCTTCATATATTACTATCTATTTTTCGATAAATTCTGGAAAATTAAATTGGAAAAATGTTACTAGAATTTATTCATAATTAAATAATATTCACGTAAAACACTCTATTAAACGTGATTGAACATCGTGTGTCAAAAACGTTTGACATTTGACGTATTAGCCACCGTCCATTGTTTTATTCAAATTACGCTTCTACAAAAATGTTCAAATTAAAAATGTAAAGTTTCTACGCGATCTTTGAAATAATATCTCACCTTTCCGACAACCTACTGATTAGCACGAATTTTTCAAGACTAGGACTGGCCAAATCGGTTTAGCCGTTTTCGAGTTTTAGCGAATCATTCTATCGAAAGCTTTATTTTTATATATAAGAAGATACCAATTCTTCCGCCATCTTTTATTACTGTCAGTTCGGCACGGAGACGACCTTTAAAAATAAACTAGTAGTGTATGGCATCTTAATTGCTCGAACTTCCCGTACCGTAATGAAATATTCGAGAAATTCTAAACGTTTTCAAATATATTATTACAAATACTGTAACTTTTATTATTTTTGCTATCTTGTTTGTTATATTTGAGCAAATCAAATGTAAATCATAAATCAATCAATTCATCTCCAGAACATTAACAATCGTCATTTAATTTCGAATTCAATTTCAAAAAAAAAAATAGTTACACAAAATTGAAAAAGTGTTCCCGCATAGTCACAGTCTATACGCATTTGCAAATTCTGTGCGACATTTTTACTTATACTGTGCTTAGCTTGGCGACATTTTCACATTTTTCAATAGTTTTCACAAAATCGCAAAAGTCCACAAACAGTCTGTGAACGCACTTGGGTAAACATTTGTACCAGAGTGGCGCTTAGACTGTGCTTAGCCTGGGTCATTTTTTGAATCTTTAATCCAAATTACAAAAATATTTTTTGAAAAAAAAAAATTAGAAACAAACATTTTTTTTCTAAAAGCAATTATTTTGTTGAAACAAGCAGAAAATTCTTTGAATCATTTAAACCGGACGTTTAGTTCTCCCAAAAACTGCCATATTTTTAACATTTAGCTTTGTATCTCCGAAACCGCTGGGCCTACCTTTGCCAAAAACTAATAACTACTTTTCCGTCATTACGAACTGAATGTTTTTTGGATCTCTCAAAAACTCGATTTATATTTTATGCACTCTTTGCTCGTTATCTCCGTACCTGCTGGACCTGCCTCTACCAAAAACTAATCAGCACATCTCCCTGTTAATAGGAATCGAATGTTTTTTAAACCATTCAAATCGGTTTATCCGTGCGCCCGAAAACGTTACTGGAAAATTGTATCCATACATACGCACACACACATCCATTTAGTTTCTGAGGTATGCCAGTAAAATGTTCAGAAACCTTCAAAACGTCAAGAAATGTAAAAAATTTCAATTTCGATTTTCGGCTCATTACTATAACTACCCTACGGGAAGTCAATAAAAGATTTAAATAGGATAGTTCATCTTATATACATAGTATGATATAAAGTTATAAATTGAATTATGTAGTAATAAAGTTGTAGTTGCAAAATTTGTCTATGTGAGTCAAATGTGCAGAAAATATTACAAATGAATGAGTAATCTAACCAAAGAATATAATTTATAATCTTAAAAAGTATTGAAAACCTTCATATTTCACAATTCATATTTCTATTTAACCTAATTTTCATTTAACTTCCACATTTTTCCCAACAAAATCACAATTTCCATCAACTTTCTTTCTGCACACATAATCATCCTTTACATTTTCCGTCCTCGTTCGTCTCTCATTCGTATCTTTCCGTCGCTGTTCGGCCTCGTCCGCCTCGCCTCGGCCCAGCTGATCGCTCCGTGCCGGCTTCGCGAATGTCAAAGCGACAGTAGCGCGTCGTCTGTCGCGCAGAGCGGACGTGTCGGGAACGAGAGAGAAAGATCGAGAAGAAGGACGGAGGATTTTAAGTTTTATTTCAAAAATCCTTACATTTATTTTAATAAAGGACAGATTGATAAAAAAAATTTAGAACAGAACGCGCGAAAAGATCTCAAATTTGTTTATTACTTAGTTTTACAAACGACTGTGATTTTTAAGATTAGTTTTGACAGGAGACGATTATCGTCGAGCGGCCATTTTTGTTGGAGTCGAAAGTTTTTTTTTTGAAAATTTTGGGTAAATTGTGATATTGAAATTTGTATTTTTCGGTGTGATTTTTATACGGGAGTGTTTGCGGAGAGTTTTGATATTGTGTAAGTTTTTGGCTGTGTTTTTTTGTTTAAAACGTTTTGGAAATTCAAACGGACTTGGTGAGGATTTTTTTTTAACTGAAAGTACGTGTGTATTGATCTCAGAGGATTATAGACGTAAAGGGTAAGTTATATACTTTCATACTATATATATATACACACTTACTATATATATATATATATATATATATTAAGTATATATGGGATTATATACCTGACCTACCGTAAATTTTGCACAAAGAACACGTCGATAATTTTGCAAATTTGCCAATTAGCCAAAATGCCAAAAATTTGATCAATTATTCATTTTGTCATTGCAAGTAAAATGCTTCTTGAATCATTCAAATCGAGTACTCCATTCTCTCAAAAATCGATGTGCTGATTAGTTTTTGGCAAAGGCAGGTCCAGCCGTTACGGAGATATTGAGCAAAGAGTGCAGAAAATAGAAATCGAATTTTTGAGAGAACGGATCATCCGATTTGTATGATCCAAAAAACATTCAGTTCGTAATGACGAGGAAAAGTGATTATTAGTTTTTGGAAAAGGTAGGGCCAGCGGTTTCGGAGATACAGAGCGAAATGTACAAAAAATGGCAGTTTTTGAGAGAACTAAGCGTCCGATTTAAATGATTCAAAGAACTATCTTTGTGTTTCAACAAAATAATTGTTTTTGAAAAAAAAATTTTTTTTCTATTTTTTTTTCAAAAAATATTTTTGTAATTTTGGATTAAAAATTCAAAAAATGACCCAGGCTAAGCACAGTCTAAGCACCACTCTTGTGCAAATATTTACCCAAGTGCGTTTAGACTGTTTACGTACTGGAGCACTTTTCCAATTTTGTAAAAAAAAAACTATTGAAAAATGTGAAAATGCCGCCAAGCTAAGCACAGCATAAGTGAAGATGTTGCACAGAATTATTTGCAAACGCGTTTAGACTGTGACTATACGGGAGCACTTTTTCAATTTTGTGTAAATTAGGCAACTATTTTTTTTAATATATATATATATATGGGTCAAATCCAGACCCGAAACGTATGTTCTCTATAAATAAAAACATTTTTCATTAAAACTGTTTTTTAATTACTGGATGGATGCCCAAGAAACAATTTTATTATATATATATATATATATATATATATATATAATATGTACTTTTATGTATATATATATATATATATGATAAAAATTGTTTCTTGGGCATCCATCCAATAATTAAAAAAACAGTTTTAATGCAAAATGTTTTAATTAATGCCCAAGAAACAATTTTTATCATATTATTTCACCATCTGAAGAAAAACCTCTCGCTTTATATATATATATGTATATATATATATATATATATATATATATATATATATATATATATATATATATATATATATATATTATACCCATGGGATTATATACCTGACCTACCGTAATTTTTGCACAAAGAACACGTCGATAATTTTGCAAATGTCTTTGAGCAAATTCTTGGACAAGAATTTAATCTGTAGGATGTTATTTAAACATGATTAAATTTGTTAATGTTATCAATACCATTTGAACAATATTTATATAAAATTGCTGATTAGTTGTAACTACTTATATATCCACATATATAATTAATGATTTTTATATACAAGATTTTTTTTTGTTTGACCTTGAAACATGGTTATTTGCACCCAATTACATTTATCATGTACGTTTCGATGCTGTATGTGTGTCATCATTCGGCAAGTTCTAATAAAAAATCTGTTCACATACATACACACATACTTTTTCCAAATGTTGGTCTCATTCGATTCAGAATGGCTTGAAACGTCGGGAAAACATAAAATTAGCGAGTCGGATTTTTTATGAAAACAAACTTCTCCTTCGGGAAGTTAATTATGCAAGTTTACAAAGTTACATTTACTAGAATATTTAATAAACAATACAATAATTTTTTTTTTTTTTTTAAAAAAATTGTTGATTAAATATAAATATAAGTAACGTTTTAGAGGTATTTATATATACTACTTTTTAAAATTTTGTACATTTTTAAATTTATTTTTATATACTTGATATATTTTAGATGTTTTTGTCTGACCTTGAAAAAAAAATGATTTTTTTTTCTTGAAAATTAGAAAATTACAAAAGATTATACCAAAAATATATAAGTAACGATTTTGAGGAAGTTATAATTACTACTTTTTAAAATTTTGTATCTTTTTTTAATTAATTTTGTCATATACTTTACATATCTTTTAGATGTTTATGTCTGACCTTGAAAAATTTTTTTCTTAAATTTTTTTTCTTGAAAATCAGAAAATCAGAAAAGGTTATAACAAAAATAATTTGATACATATAAGAAAGAAAAACATAAAATTAACACATAGTATTTTTACAATTTTTTTCTAGAAAAAAATCTCATTTTTATATATTGGTATTTTTTTAAACAAAGCCAATTTTTGGTATAATTTTTATTTTTTTACTATTTTTTATGTGTTTTTATATGTTTTTCCTAGAGAGAGTTCATTTTTGGTACATATTTTTATGTTTTTTATATTTTCCAAAGATTTTTTTTTATTTTTTATATTGTTCGAAGATTTTTTTATATTTATGGCGTTTTTACATAGAATTCCTAGAAAAATTACATTTTTCATATATTTTCCTAAATTTTTCCTTACTTTTGGCACATATTTTTATATGTTTTTCATATTTTCCATAGATTTTTATAAATTTTTATGGTGTTTTTATATAGAATTCCTAGAATAATCACATTTTTCGTGTATTTCCCTAAATTTTTTCTTATTTTCAGTACAAAAAGCTCATTTTTATAATATGCCAGGAAAAATATCAATGCGCGTGTAGATTGCAAGGGATGAATAATCAAATATATTACGTAGTTCGTTTATAAACTGTTTGTATCAATGAAATATATATATATATATATATATATATATATATATCAAGTTCATTTTTATAATATATAAATATATAATTATTTTTATATTATATTTTCTTTCAAATGTTTCCTTCTTTTATCTTTATAATACAATGAGATAATTTTATGTGATTTTTATATTAATATTAATAATATCAAATTTATCCTAATATTTAGTAATTGTTTAATTTTTGTAAACTTGTGTATTTTTTCTTATTGCACTTGTTAAATTGCTGTTTGACACACATACAGTGTCGAAACGTACATGGCAAACAGTTAAATTATTAATTATTTTTTTATCTCGACTATTTGGCTAGAAATAATTATTTAAATAAGTTATATACATATATATTTATATATATATATATATATATATACGAGTATATATATATATATATATATATATAAATAAAATTTTCTTTAGATTTGTTGTTCGAAATCTACTATCGAATGATGGCACAAAAGTGGTGTCGAAACGTACACAAATTTAAATTTTATTTTATTATTTTTGTTTTGTTGTATTTATCAAAGATATATTTTTTGGAAGGTATGATATTTATGTTTTGTTAAATTAGAATATTTTAATCCTGAAGATATTTTTTTGAATGCACTGAATGCATTTTAACCCTTTCCACTCTGGCATTTCACAATTTGTATGTATTTTGTCGGAAAGGGTTAATTTTAATTAAATGTTGTAAAATGTATTTTATTGTTTTGTGGTACATTTTTATAACAACGAATATTTTTTTTAATGTTATTGACAAAAACATTTACTTATTAGATAAAAATGGAAGAAAAAAATAATTAGGTTTAGAAACCCTCTTTTAAATATTTACTTATGGCCATGTCAGTCATAAGAAATAGTGTATGGTAAAAAAAAATTAATAAAATTACCATGGTGTATGTGAAAATAGTAGTTTTTTATTAAAATATCCAACCAATTAATTATTAAACATAGATATTAATATGAATCTTGTACATAATTTCTTTTATATAATTAACATTTAACCTGAATAAAGTGGCAATAAAAATCAACAGATCTTAAAGTTAATATTAATGCAAATTCATTATTATTATTATCACAATTCTAATTTGCATTATATTATTATTTGTAATATGTATTGTACAAATTCAATTCTTTATCTAAGAAGGTACTAACTAAAAGAGTTTCTATGAATATTCATGACACGTTCCTCTTACTCTATCAACTTTTATGTAGGTAATTTGTTTAAACAATAAAACCTGCGTCCATATGCATATTTATATTGTTTAAACAAGTTTTAGAAATCTAGTTCTAGTCAAAGAGAAAATCCTTCAACAGAGAGGAATTAGAGTAAAAGATGATAGAGAAATTTCTGAAATGGATTATTAAATTGTTTAAAATGATTTATTGATGGCTAATGGACTAGAAAAAGATGATAAATTTATATTTCGATCATTAGATTTGATGGCAGGTTTTTGTCTAAGACAGAAGAAGAATTGCGGTAGAAAATGTTGACCTTGACGAGAACTAATCTCGAAAACCGGTTTAAAATTTGCACACATACAGATATTTGATTTTATACATATAATTATATATATATATATACTAGCTGACCCGGCAACCCCGTTATTTATTAAACTGAATTATATATTTTCATCTGCCATACTGTTGACTGTATCTTGTATTATTTTAATTTCTGGCACATCTCGGCTGCTTTTCGGCAATAATAATGTAGACATTACATTTTTCTTGAATATTATATTCTAATATTATCTAGGCTCATAATTCCAGCTAAATTCAAATTTCAATGAATTGACATTTCCACCAGATGACAGTTCAAATGTTTTCAATGTCAAACAATGATAAGTGTTTTTTTGTAATTTTTGCCATTGATTTATACAATATTACTATAGTTTTATCGTTAATTAAATCTTAAAAATTTCCTTTGACAAGAAAGAAACATTTTGCTAACAATAAGTAAGATATTTCTAAACAATTTCTATATTCTTTATTTTAAATGTGCAAGGATGCGTTGTTTGAATGCTATAGTCAATGAGGAATTATAAAAACAATATACCCCAAAGTCTACTTTTTCAATATTTTATAATTTAATTCCATATTATTTATAATTTGAATTCTATTTAAATAACATAAAAAAATGATACTCCAGAAAATGCTTTATAAATACCATTGAGTATAAAATTATACAAATGAGATTTTTCAAACCACCGAGT